TCCTGAAATTAGCGCGTTCAAACAAACAAACTCTTCAGCTTTATAATATTAGTATAGAAGTATAGATGTTATTCCTTCATCATCTTCCAGCTTGCTTCAGCTAGGTTCGTATTTGATTAAAAATATTCAGAGCTATTATCAATTTTCGACTACTCTGTAACTGCATTACTGTACGAATACAACTGACTTCTTAGTCACTAAACTGAACGCGGACGCTCAAAATAATATAATGTAGTTAATGTTTCCTCGCAGACCATACAGATTTCGCGCCGCGTTGATTCTGTATAATAAAATTTCGTATCCAGCTCACGTATCGTGCTGTAACATCCAATCGTGATCCACGGTCTCCTCACGAAGGACCGTGACGTCGGCGTCGATTGTGGGCGCCCTCGGATAGCAGTCGGTGAGATAAGACTTGCACAATGAGTATATATCTGTGACGTCGGTCGCACAAGTGGTGACATTAAGAGCATTGTGAGATATTTTACTGCCTGACTCGGTGGCGCAGTGGTTACTGACTGTTGCTAGGGTCCCGAGTTCGATTCTCACATCGGTTTGCCTCATGTGAGAATCAGCCATCGGCTATCTCATCCTTCAAATCAGAGTGCATGATTGCTTCGTAACACCATGTGGGATTCTAAATCGATACGGTTTTTCTAAAGCTTAGATTTTAATTTAACAATTGAAATATAAAACACATGTAATTACATTCAATCGCAATGTACGGTGAACTCTAATTTAAAGTTAAATTTGAAAATAATACTTGTAAATTTAACGCGGACTGAACCACACCATAAACATATACCTAGTTCCATATTATATAATAAATAAATAAATATTTACTAATAATCACGCCACGATAACTGGTCCCGTGATAAGTTCGTAAAGAACTTGTGTTACAGATACCAGATAACGGAAATAAAAATAAGATTTTTATTATATATTTAATATACATCCATAACCCTGGAAAATACATTTATGTTTATCATACAAATATCTTCTCTTGGCGGGATTCGAACCCGCGACCCCCTTGTGTAGTGACCATGTCACTTACCACTACACCAGACGGCCGTTAAAATTAATGTTACATTCAATATTCTAATTCTTAATCAGTTAATATATACAAAGGAGACCTCCGCATTTCGCGTCTTAATTTATTAGTTTAGCTTTTTGTCTATTTCGGCGGCGTGAATCTGACATATTTGGAATTTTTGTTCACACCGCATCCGTTCTCGAGAGGCAGGCTGCGTTTACGGATAACGAACCGCGCTGCCTAAAGAATGAGATGTTCAGGAATAAATTACGCTTCCCCATTTTAATTGGGCAGAACGGAGAGAGCGTTTTAGTTGAGAGATTCCACAGAATGTGACCTTGTAATCGTGCTATGAAATCATGGTGTGTTTTAAGTGTTATGGGGCTTACGCTTAGAGCTGTTTCGCTTCGAGGAAGTTCGCTGGAGCGCATGTGGATTCCGTGGAAGCGTTTTACATCCTTGGAGACTAGGGCAGCTGTAATACCATTTCGATCGCATTTGTTGAACAGTTTTTCTGATGCAGAGTCGCGACCATTAACATAGCTCTTAAAACAACAAATACCAACATTTTAATTTTATACTGGTTAATTTTCGTTGTTTTTCGTATATTTACGAACAAGAACATCCATATATTATTACTAATCATACTAACAATACTACTAACATATTATTACTAATCTAAGATATTGTTTTATTTTTTTAATTCTGTAATTGTTTTCTTAATTTAAATGCCTAGTAGTCTTTACATTAGATCACCTCCTATCAATGACAGCAAACTTAGTTTATTTCGAACACACAAAACTATACCTATGTTTCGTTCAAACAAGACCTCCTCTTTTTTTGAAGTCGGCTAAAAACAATCATACATTTATTCAGTACTGAATAAAGCACAGTGCACACGAGTGCCGCGGTAATGTCGCGCCCGGACGTGTCCGCGATAAAGGTTTTATCATAAGAAATCATCACGCATTACACATTGCCAGCTCACTGGGAACAATCGTGGTTTACGATAAAGCTCCTTGGCACGTTAGCAAAACGTTAAATGGGCGCTGGATTTTCATAGATGTAGTTGCTTTTAAATTAGATGTGGTGAATTTATTTGAATTTCGCCAATAGATGGCGTTGGTTGTAAAAGTAGGTTGCAGTAGGCAGCGGCTTGGCTCTGCTCCTAGCATTGCTGAAGTCCATGGGCGACGGTAACCACTTACCATCAGGTGGGCCGTACGCTCGTCTGCCTACAAAGGAAATAAAAAAAAAATTAAATTGCGGTATCGATATGTTTTCCTAAACTATATACATACAACGGAAATTATACTTTGGATAAATAGCATATCGCCGAACCATCAGTGGTGCATTAGTTAAATCAACCCGCTGGGACTAACCTTGGACACTCACTCGTCCAAGAATCTCCGAGAAGGACGCATCTTCAGACTAGTTCAGACCGTGATTCGTGCATGGTCCTTCGTAGCTGGATCGTCCACCCGTGATTCGTTCAAGAAATCTTTCTAATTTCAAGACGAGATGATTGTAAAAATGTTGTTTTGATATTATCGCTAGACACGAGCGAAGCCTGCACGATCGGTACCCTTGTGAATGGACGAAACACATAACCACTACTCAATCTCACTCGTTAATCAATCTAACGCAACGCATTCCGCGACAGCCTCCTTGTTTTGTGCTTATCATTGGGGCAGATCTTAAGTTTTGCGCTACACCTCGTTCGGTTATCACATCACAAAAACTATTTTAGCATACAAATCCACTAAGTGGGCGAATAACGCGGTGTTTCGATCTGATAGTGGACGCAGCAATTACGTACGTGACACCTTGCTAGGCGCGCGTCTAGATTGTCATCTGTGTACACCCAGCTTTGTGAAGGGTTTCCATTGCGCTTTGACGTTTATGATTGCTACATGGTGATGTCAAAGAATTGATTTCTGTGTAATGTTACCGACATTGTGACTGCGAAACTGGGCGAGTATCGTTTTAAGTTTTTGCGGTTAACGCGAAGTACGCGAGTAGTGAAGTTGTGTGATTTGTTTTATTTTGTCTATTTAGTGTTTATTTAGTGTCTATTTAGCGGTAGGCAGCGGCTTAGCTCTGCCCCTGGCTTTGATGAAGTCCATGGGCGACGGTAACCACTCACCATCAGATGGGCCGTATGCTCGTCTGCCTACAAGGGCAATAAAAAAAAATTAATTAGTGTTTTTTCAGGTTTAAATGTGTAATAGCGGTGGTTTATTAACTGTTTAATATCTGTGAAAGTGCACAAATGTGGGAAAATGAAACAAAGCCGCTGGACGTAACTTCTCGGGATCCTCCAAACGTCCACTAAAAAAATCTCAGTAAATGACTACCATTTTACTGAGAATATTTCATCCCATATCATCTCATCTCATTTTATTTAATTTCATCTCAGTTGGTTAATGTCTCAAATTAATCATCTTCATTTCATTTCATTTCACTCCATATTATAATATTTCATAAAAATAAGAATATAAATTAAAATAAGACATGACCTAAAGGTCTTAATTACCAGGTCATAAAATACCTTAAAAACAAAACTAACTAGGTATACCAACTTCTTTGAATATCGACACAAAAAAAAAAACCGTTGTTTTCTCGACGATAAAATAGTCGTGTGTTCGAACCGTGGAGACGGTGGCTTTGGTGTTGGGAGAGTCTTCAATTATCTTCAAGTCGTATTACAAAGCTAGTTATGATGCTATTTCAGAAGAATCGTGTTTTACAACAACAAAAAACTTTTATCTAAGTTTTTTCCTTGTTTGTCGCCGAAATTTACAAAACGTAGCCGACTTAAAGGGAAAATAAATCGTTTAGAGACGTTTTAATAAAAAATGAAAATCAGTTATAATCATAGTACAAGACAAATTGGCTAGGTGGTGCGATGACCTCCGCACGGTGGCCGGCAAGAAGTGGATGAGGAGAGCCGCAGACCGGGCTCAGTGGTGTGGATTGGGAGAGGCCTATGTCCAGCAGTGGACGACCGTGGGCTGTTGATGATGATGATGATGATGACAAGACAAATAATGAAATTTATATCTATATTATTCATAAATGTAATATAGATGGAATTAAAGACGTGCTTTGTTTGAATTATGAATATTTAAGATACTTATTATATTTTTAACGATAGTCCCATCCACGTTATTCAATCTGCGCATTCATTCTTACTTTAGAATCGAGCAATTTTTAACGACGATTTTTTTACATCTACTAGGAAATTTGACAATACGTATTATGTACATAAAAGTATTAAAGATGAAAAAAAAACACGCTTACCTGTTAATATCCGCACGTGAGCGTGGTTGATAGTATTTTCTTTGGTTTTCGCGAGTTTTAAGCATGATTACAAATACTTTTACGGTTTAATGTCGAGTTTTTTTCAATTGTTATTATAATAATATGAATTATTTCCGACGTTTTGAATACTTTACAGTTGATGTGGTTCACCGTCGTTCCTTAAGCCGTAAAAGTGTTTTTTTATAACGACAGTAAGTAGTCGTAATGCAGCGTTCCTTCGACACAGTTCTCTCATAGATAGATATACTTCATCTGAGTGTCATCGGTCTTGGATATATTTAAACGTATGTTAGCTTTTTTTATTGCTTGTACGGGTGGACTAGCCCACAGCCCACCTGGTGTTAAGTGGTTACTGGAGCCCATAGACATCTACAACGTAAATGCGCCACCCACCTTGAGATATAAGTTCTAAAGTCTCAAGTATAGTTACAACGGCTGCCGCACCCTTCAAACCGAAACGCATTACTGCTTCACGGCAGAAATAGGCAGGGTTGTGGTACCTACCCGCGCGGACTCACAAAAGGTCCTACCACCAGTAAAAAGTGTATGTGTGTATATCAGTCTCCATATGCTCGAAATTTGTGTTTTATTGTTTTGATAATATCGAAAGATTAAAAGTCTAAGGATAAAGAAAAATAAATAGTCTTTTCAATAGATTCATCTATATATTTTAATGAATAATTTTCAATTACAGCTGTCGCAAAATTTTACAGTCTCCGTTCGAATGTTCCAGAAGCCTTTAGGTAAAACTTGTTAGGTCTTAAATAAATAAGAAAATAAACTTTTAGTTTCGAATTTAAAAACAAATATAAAACCCATTTTCGGGTCGCGACCGTCAATGATTTCCTTTTCTCAATAATTAATCAGTACCATTTTTTTTTATTTTTTATAATATAATTTCAAAATGGCGTAGTTTGACAGCCGCGCACAGAAAATCTCGTAAATACACTATTATTGCGCTTAAATTAATGAATTTCATGGAAAATTATATTCATTTATAATATATTTTTGTATTTTTAACTACATTTATTAACTATATATTACAAACTTTCAACTTACACTATATTCATCAATTGTGTATTTTTGCACGTTTGATTGCAGCGTTCCAAATATATTTTTATTTTACAAATTTTGTACCACATGTCCACATAAATAAAGGTTAAAATGTCTTATGACGTAAATTATTGAATTAGTTGTGTGACGTTTAGGCTTATTATTGAGTCTGTATCAAAATCATTTTTTTTTCTAATCTTACACGAAAATCCTGGAGGTTTTAGTTTATGGTTGTATTAAAACGCTTATCAGGCACAAAAATACCTACTGTCAATTAATATGTATAAGAATTCAGTTATTATCCCACATACCATTTTTTCTTTATTCAATAAAGAGTTTTCTATCTATCTATCTATCTATGGTCTTTCACTGACAGTATTTAAATGGATGTCAATTCCGAGGCAATTTTAATTTAGTCTTTTTTTGGGTAACAATATTTACGTTATAAGACATAAAAAAAAAATGTATTTCTATTTAAAAAGAACACGACAATCAATCGCCCGTCAACCTCGTAGTTCAATTGACAAAACATACATATTTTGAAAATATGTCATATAATTATTAGTAAACACGTAAATACACCTTATAATATTTATTTACAATATAAAGCAATATTATTTTAATTATTACTATTTGCTACTGTAAAATATTGTGAGGAATTAATTCGATTTTTTTTTCGATTAAATTTTACGGACTTATCTGTGACGCCAATTCGTTTCTAAACTCATTGTTTTTATTTATTTTCACACTCAAACGTTTATTTACGAAGTTCGCCTTGAATAACGCATTATTTAAAACGCGAAATTTTATTTTTAAATTTCAGTTACTAATTTAAAATAAGTTTCATTAATCTCCCAATTGGATACTTTCATGATGACGTCACAATACGTGCCTATTAAAATTTCACCGAATTCATAAAATGATTTAAACTATTACTATTGCAGTGGTGTGTGTAAACTAACGGTACTACGCGTGTTGCGGATGATAAAGGATGGCATGGGAACTTATGATGTACTTAAAATAAATAAAAATACATATTAAAAACATTAGTACTTCAAATATTTATTTCTTGGTTAAACTATTCTTCGTGCTCATTCATTTTAAACAATCGTTTTTGATACAAGACATTATAAACGGTTTGGTCCTTGAAACATTCATTAATAGGTATAATTGAAATTTTATTTTAGTTCGATCATTTAATTCATCCCATGCCATCAGCGCTCCCCATCGAGCCGCCTCGGTGTCGTTGACCTCTAACATAAGCTTAACTATTTACAACAAACATACGATATCGACCCGAATAGAACTCGAAAAGAAACAAAATAGGAACGATATAAAATGTCGCGTTCGTCGCGGCGGATCACGGCTCTCCCGAAACGAGGCACAGTATAAATACAGGTATGTACAGTACGGCTAGAGTCAGTCCTGGGTCTCGACGTCGAGGCCGTTGACCATACGCTCGATGCTCTTGAGGTCGGAGGCGGGCGGCGTAGCGGGCGTCGTTGAGGTCGGCGCATCCGGCGGGGGGTCGGCGGACGCGGCCCGGGCCGGCGGCGACCTTCGTGCCGGGGACGAACTCAACGAGCGAGCGCGGGGGGCCACCTGCTCGAACGCCGACCCCAGACCCGGCAGCGCGTACGGAGCGAACCTGTGCGCCTTCGTCAACGAGGGCGCCGTCGCCGTAGGGGGAACCGGAGGCGGGGGCAACGAGTACTGCTGCAGCAACGGGTGCAAGTTGAACAGCAGCCCCGGCGTCATCTGGTGCGGCGGGAAGAACGGTGGCGGATACAGTGAAGGGGGATACAAGTACGGCAGGAGCGGCGGTTGTACCGGCGGTCCTAAGGAGACGTCCGGCGCTGGGGAGGGACGCGACGGTCCCGCCGGCGGAGAGGACGCCCGCGCGCCGCCAGAACATGACGAATCTGATCCGGCTTCGATTGCTTCTTCGGGGCCTGAGTCGCCTCCACCTCCACCACTCGAACTGAACCAGGCTGAAATTACGCATATGTCATAACCTCTCTCCGTCTATTGGTCCGCGAAATTGATAGCTAACAAATTACACTTACAGCTAGTATTGTGCTGGGTAGAGGACGTGGGCGGTGGACTGGCCGGTCCCCCGACGTCTAGCGGCCGCTCGTCATCTTCGTCCCTGGTGTCCGAGCGCGCTGTCAGCAGAGCTTGCCTGCGGTACACAGACAAACTACTTATGTTACCATGATGCTTTTGAAAATGCCAGATTGTTATGGATACATGTTTTCGAAATTAGATACTTTTTTTCCCTACCTAAGCTGATAACCTTGAGAGGCTATTTCAGCGTAACCTTAGCCAGTAAGTGAGCTCACGGGGCACAAACCGGAGTGATACTAACACTGACCCTAGCAAGAGCAGTGCTTCGCAGAATCTACCCTCGGATCGGAAACGCGACCCACTGAGAAGTTTTGGCGAGAAACTCAATGGGCTGTGTCTGTGGGTTAATTCGCTCGTCGAGCCCTTCGTCGCAAGCGACGGGTTCGACGAGGACGGTGACCGGTGCTTGTGGTACCTAAAAGCACCGCTAATGGATCGGGAGGATCCGTAATGACGTGTTTTGGGCAACATCGACTGTTTACCATTCGGTCTACAGGATCGGGTATGCAGAGAATCACGTGGGATACTTTTATTTCCCCTACCGAATCGTTGGTAACCTAAGGGGCTATTCCAACCTCTAGGCTCAGTCTGAGAAAATTGCTAATACTAGCCCTAACAAGAGCAGTGCTTCGCTGAATCTACTACCGGATCGGAATCGCGACCCACTGAGAAGATCCGGCGAGAAACTCAGTGGGTTGTCTATGGGCAGTAGGATATACACACTTATGTACATTAAATAACAATGCTACCTTTTTATTTTGATGTGTAACAGTGAATATGGACCACCGTATATATTTTACGAAACTCACTATTGCGACATGGCGGAAACAGACAAAGTAGTGGTACCTATCCGTGCGCGCTCACAAGACGCCTGACCATCATTAATAGTACACCCAGTAGGGATATATATAAACTAGTAAACTCACTGAAATAACTTTTAAGTTACACTTCATGCGGAGTACTTGTTATTTTAAGCTACACCGGGCTTCCTAGACGCATTCAAAGTCGCTTTCTCTGTCCCTATATCTGTCTGTCCCTATGTATGCTTAAATCTTTAAAACTACGCTACAGATTTTGATTCGGTTTTTTTTAATAGATAAAGTGATTGAAGAGGAATGTTTATATGTATAATAACATTCATTAAATAGTGAAGAATTCAATAATAAATTACAGTTTCCGAAGCGAAGCGAGGATGGGTCGCTAGTATATTATAAAATTAATTCAGATTGAAAAGTCGCAATATGTTTGATGAATATGTTCCTAAGTTCAGTGTTCACACCCCGGGTGTCAAACTGTTGACATATCACGTAATGAGCCGCCACGACCCTCGGGCTATAGAAGGTTAATCATTTCTTAATGATAGTCGCGAAATTTGAACCCCGCCGTTGCAACAACGAAATGTCAATGCCTTTAAGGTGAGGGTATTCTGAAAAAAGGATGTCATACGAGTTTGTTTCACTTTTTTTAAACCGAATTTTTAACACTATGAACGCTCCTTAAAAAATCGAGTTTTTTCTATCAGGCCACAGTGCTCACCGGTGAGTTTTATCTTACTGAACCGTTTGGGCCATGAGGGTCACCCGACAGTCGCGTGAGGGGTCCAACGTAAACGCTTCCTACAAGCTTCCTTCAGATTGCGGCTATCAAACAAAAGGCGTAAGAAGTAAGCCGCGTGGCCCTTTTGTCGAACCTTGGTTTTCAAATCCAATAGAAAGTTGTAGTTTTTATCAAGATTATAGCCTTTTAAAACATCTTCAAAACTAGACGGTAAAAGTCACAAATTTTTTTCTTTCCTGCAAATTATCGCATTTTATAAATTTTAGATTGAAAATCTCAAGTTGATAAAAATTACCGATTCCCTGATTTTGGCCGGGGCCGAATGGTATAGTGCGCTAGGTCCACCGATGGGCCACATGGCGTTCAATGTGTTTTAATCTATTTTTATCATTACTAAGTTCATAGTTTCGATGCGACACTATTTTGTTTTTAATAAAATCGGTAGTTAGCCCAAGTTCACGAATGACTTACACGATGTAGGAATAGCTGCATAATAAAAAGCAAATGCGTATTTTTTTGTAATATGCGTAAAAACAATTGAGATGTAGACCTCAAGTCTCAAAGTAAGTGGCGGCATTCACGTTGTAATGTTAATGATCTCCGGTAGGATTACATCATTAATTACTAAACATCAGGCAGACAATGAAATGGTTAATCTGTCTACGTAATCAGAGACAATATCAAAAAAAAGGCACGAGGAAATATCTAATTAATTTTCTTTCAATAAATAAAACTACCAAGGTCATCAAAAATATTCGTGCAATTAATGTCAAGAGTTTCGATAAGAACAAAAACGCAGCTCACATTATACGGGTACAAAACGTTCACGGAGACCACGTCCCTTTCGGAAGACATTAAAAGACAAAAAAAAGGTTAAACGATTTAAAACGGTCACCCCAAAGGATACAAAAAGAGCGCAATTATTTGCCTTCTGTCGCTCCGTTAAACAAACAACTCTTTATCATGTGTATTGTCTTACGGAGCCCCAAAATCGTCCGCGTCTTCCCGCCGGGCTCCCCGGCGCCCTGATTACCGGGGTTCCGCACTAAATTCATTTTATTAACTCGTCTCATCGCCGCGGCTCATAGAATTTAATTTGTGCCACCCTTGATATTTAGGGCTGGCGATTTTTCCATTTTGACCATTTTCCTTCTATTGAGTTTTAGGACATCGGTTTAAAAACGATCATATTATAGTAATTTTGGTTTTTTTCAAATATACCTAATTTCAAAGGTACTGGTGTATTTGAACTGATATCACCATGATTGAGCAGCATAAGCTCACCCCCCAGTTATGTTGAAGCCAGAATAGCCTCTCGAGGCTAATGGCAGATAGGTAAGCAAAGAAATATATCACCGTACTGCCTATTTCTGCCACGAACTATTAATGCGTTTCGGTTAGATGGGTGATTCAGCTATTATAAAATACATTAGGGATTTAGATATAACGTCACAGGTAGGTAACAGCATTCATTCTATGATTTTATGGGCTATATAAGCCACTTAGTAGGCCGTCTGCCAATTTGCGCCAAATTCCTTTTTTTAGGGAAATGTAATAGAATAGATAGATCTTCTTTTTTTGTGTATATTCTCTGGTTTGATCCCTAAATTGCATTCCACCTCAATCAATATGACTGAAGACCAAGACCAAATTCTTTTTTATCTCAATTTCATCAAGGTTGACTCTGCATTAAGAATTGTTTGGACTCAACACCTTCTGCTCATCTACGATAATTTAAAAATTCAGTGTCAACCCTAACTTAAACTGTTCGCATTAGGGTGTTCACGTTACAATGTAAACTTGTGGCGCTGGGGTGGCTCGCCTTGTAATTTTGTCAAATTTTTATCCCCAAAAATATCCCTAAAGTGACGCGGTTTGTTCGTATACCCTCTGCATTAGGGTTCATCGTCGCAACCCGATGAGACAAGGGCAGTATATTAAGTAGGTGTTTTGACTCTTGTTTTATTGTTTCCGAGAGATTTTTATTCTTTTAACACGTAACGTTGCTTCGGGCAAAACGAGATGAAAAGGGAACACATTGAATGAGAACTGTTAGAATCTGTTGCTTCCGTTCTATATGATTGAGGCGATTTCAATTGAAATTATCGCTTGTTTGACGGTGGGCCATGTTATACTCCGGCTCCGTCAGGTACCAACAAACCGGCTGTTTGGGATGGGTTAAGAGGTTTTTGTTCGCAGGACTGAGCATACGGTCGCAAGCTTTGCAGCGGCTTCCAAGCTAATAGTGAGCACTCTTAACTGTTGCCTACTGAGCTTTTTTTTTTCCTACCTAATCTGAGAGCTTTGAGAGGCTATTTCAGCGTAACCTTAACTAGTAAGTGAGCTCATGGGACTCAAACCTGACGACGTTGGTAACACGAATCCTAGTAAGAGTCGTACTTTTCGTCGCAAGCGACGGGTTCGACGAGAACGATGGCCGGTGCTTGAGGTACCTAAAAGCACTGTTAGCGGATCGGGAGGATCCGAAATGACGTATCTGGGGCGACGACGACTGCTTTCCATTCTGTCCGCAGGAACGGGAATGCTACTGAGCCGTCTCGTCTGCTCGTAAGTAATAGTAAAATACGAAAGTCGATGGAAATAAACATTAAGGATGTAGGGTTGGCAGAAAGATTAATGAAAAGAAAGTCAACTAAGAATATACGCCTTTATTATATATAGATGCTATATAGTGTTTGGGTTTGTGGTTTTGGACTAGACTGGCACTATACCATATCTTCCCTTGGGTGTCGAAAAGGGTGATTAAGCGGGGAAATGGGCAGCATCATTCTCTGACTAGTATGTTATCGAACTACGATCGCCAACTGAGTTTTACTAGTGGTAAGGTAAGTAAGCTTGCCCAGATAAGTAACCTATTATATATATCCTGTCTATTTCTGCCGTGAAGCAGTAACGCGTTTCGGTTTCAAGGGCGGAGCAGCCGTTGTACTGTAAAACAGCGATTTTGAACTCATTTCTCAAGGTGGGCGACAGCATTTACTTTGTCGAAGTCTATAGCCTCCGATTACCACATAGCATCAGGTGAGCCGTGAGCTCGTCCACCCATCTAAGCCAGCTGTCGGCAACCTTGTCAATTTAAATAAATATTGATAACACACAATTTATATTTATTCAGAGCCAATTTTTATTACATATTTTTTATAGCCTTTTGTTTTAAAATAATATTCCGTGACTGAACTAAGCATTTCGCGGAAGAGCCGTAGCTAAGAAGTCAGAGCCGCATGCTCGCTAGCCGCGGGTTGCTGACCACAGATTAAGCAATAAAAAAAAAAGAACTAATCGTATTAAACACACGACATTTTCGTTTGCGACTGTCAAATGTGAAAGGTTGATTTAGAAAGAGATAGACCTATTAATAAGTATTTCAGGGATTTGTATTAAAAAAAATTAAGATCAAAGTTTGTGTAGCACATTTAGCAAATAACATAAAAAGGATTCCATTTTTTTTATTTTGGAATACTTTAACAATCGCCTCGGAATTGAGATGATAATTTCAGTTCTTTAACACAATGGCCGAGGCATGTGTCCGCTACAGAGCGTGTAGTTTGTCAAAACAGTCACGTCGGGTCAGTTCCGGTCGGCCATTTTGTAAGACGGCCGCAGCTTCCGGTCGCCGGAGGGCGCCTGTATACGGTCATCCGGTGCGAAATGTTGTGTAAGCGAATTAAAGATTCCTTTACGTACGTCCAAAAGGCCGTTTAACTGAATCTGAAGTGATCTTGTTGGTTGTGGAATATAATAATTTCAAAAACACTACTTCGTTCGATATTTGACTAAAATATTGTTACATAAAAAATTAAATATTGCATGTACTTTAGTTTAAGTTACATGGAGCTATTAGTGCAAAATCAGATATCTTTGGTATCAATCGCGAGGCCATGGATTAACACGAACCATCATTCCGTAGAATCGCATAACGACCGCGAGGTACTAACAGATGGTTATCCGCCACTAATTGAGTTCTTGTTCGAATTTCAAATAAGTTAGCGGAACGGCGGCCTATCCCCACGGGCGGCGGCCGATAGCAAATTATGCGGTGAAAAAAAAACCAAAGCTGATTTTATCGCGGAAATCCAATTTTCTCCCTCGCACGCTAAAGACGCTGGAAAAAAGAGCCAAGTCGTATGACTCCACCGTTTCGAGCCGTTACCCGCCATGTTTAAACTTTGAACACGAATAAGGAGGCGCCGGATTGGTTTAATTTGAATTTGGAACGGCGCCGAGCGTGTTGGCATCGGGTGCTCGGAAACGCCGCTCGTGCCCTAATTAATTTGGAGAGAGATTCACAGATACGAAGCTAATTTAGTTAGCTTTTAACTTTACTTAAATAGTCGGCAGTTTTCGCCTTCATTAATCATTCAGTCGCCTTTTAGTTATGAACGCCGCCCACAACGTGGATTCGTAATTGAATTTTAGAACGTAAATTAAGCGCATTAGAGGTCTTATTTATTCAAAGCGTACGGTGCATGAGGATTTAAATATCGCTCTAAAACGATTTTTGATTTATACGAGCTATGTGCTCAAAAATGATCTTCAGTCACCTCATAACTAAAGGTTTTTTGTCTTAGAAAGAAAACTAGATCTCACTGTAGCCAAGAAATCAAAATAGGATCATCATCACTAGGAATTGTAATCTTCTCAAAATAATATTTATTTATTTTGTATTTTACATTACGCATTACTTTATTTAACACTAGCTGACCCGGCCGACTTCGTAGTGCCTCAATCGATAAATAAAAGACCTAAGCTTTTGTATAAAATAAACTTAACACACAAAAGTTTTGTAGTCGTCGTGGCCTAACGTATAAGGCGTCCGGTGCATCCGTGTTGAAGCGATGCACCGGTGTTCGAATCCCGCAGGCGGGTACCAATTTTTCAAATGAAATACGTACTCAACAAATGTTCATGATTGACTTCCACGGTGAAGGAATAACATCGTGTAATAAAAATGAAACCCGCAAAATTATAATTTGCGTAATTACTGGTGGTAGGACCTCTTGTGAGTCCGCGCGGGTGGGTACCACCACCCTGCCTATTTCTGCCGTAAAGCAGTAATGCGTTTCGGTTTGAAGGGTGGGGCAGTCGTCGTTACTATACTTGAGACCTTAGAACTTGTATCTCAAGGTGGGTGGCGCATTTACGTTGTGGATGTCTATGGGCTACAGTAACCACTGAATCCAAGCAATAAAAAAAAAAAGGAATCCGTCCGACGGGGGGACACATCAAAGGAAAAACAAAATTGTTATTTTTAATTAATTCCGAGGATTATCATATTTGTCTACCTTTTAAACCTTCTCTGGACTTCCACAAATAATTCAAGACCAAAATTAGTCAAATCGGTCCAGCCGTTCTCGAGTTTTAGCGAGACTAACGAAAAGCAATTCATTTTTATATGTAGAGATTACATTAAATATTTTTCGACATTTCAAAAGTATCGAGGAAGAAGTTTACAAAATGAGTGAGTAATTTTTAAATATAATATAATACTTTGAAGGAGTTTGAAATACTTTGAGGAAGTTATTCGAGGACCACAATCAAAGACTATAAGGTTTCTCTTCGTGATTGTTCGCAAGAGTTACGAAATCATTGGCGCAAGTTGTTTACGGGACAGATTTGGAAACGGCTACAAAAAATATATATATTTGAAATATCTTTGAACAATCGTTCTATGATTTTTATCGATTTTCTTTACCCTGACTCTGGTTAAAGCTTTCTTATGAATTTTCATGAATTATATGTTAAATGACGAGAATTTTTTTTTTCTAAAGTTTTTCTTTATGTTACTCGTAGCAAACTCAAATCGTAGTACATATATATTTTGTCTCTTTGTGCGTAACTGTTTCACGTTACTGGTGGCAGGAGCTCTTGGGAGTCCGCACGGGTAGGTACCACCACCCCGCCTATTTCTGCCGTGAAGCAGTAATGCGTTTCGGTTTGAAGGGTGGGGCAGCCGTTGTAACTGTTCTTGAGACCTTAGAACTTATATCTCAAGGTGGGTGGTGCATTTACGTTATACTCGTAGTTATCTATAGGCTCCAGTAACCACTTAACACCAGGTGGGCTGTGAGCTCGTCCACCCATCTAGGCAATAAAAAAAACGTTCGTTAGTTTTTTATTTATTGTTTATTTTACTATCTTGCAATTAACTTTTGTATTTTGTCAGTTTGGCATTTTGTTTAGTGAATTTTGTAATTTAGCCGTAATTTTTCAATGTAGTCTGGTAAATATATTATATTCGGCATAGACTTAATTTTTTTTATAATTAATTTATTTTACATGATCGCAATAAAAACACATTGCTATATAATTAATCGCCTGTATCCTAGACGATAGATAGTTTGTTGTTTAAATAAATTTTATAATTAATTTTCTTTGTTGACATTTTGCAAGTCCGGTCTGCTGGGTGATTCATCTTGCCTATTTATGCAGGGGATTGACTCCAGTTTTTAAAGTAAGACGGTCGGTGCATACGGAAACAAGTCTCCAATATCGATATCTTAAGTTAAGTCGTGGTGATCTTAATGAAAAGATAAGACGCCTGCTGTGTTCGTATAGAGATATGTGAATATGTCTGCGTTCAGATCCCGCAGATAGGTACTAAGCTTTGTAATTAAATACGCATATAAAATATGTTCACGTTACACTATTTTTTTTTGGGCGTAGGTGGGTGGACTAGCTCACAGCCCTCCTGGTGTTAAGTGGTTGCTGGAGCCCATAGACATCTACAGCGTAAATGCCGCCACCCACCTTGAGATATGAGTTCTAATGTCTCAGTATAGTCACAACAGCTGCCCCACCCTTCAACCCGAAACGCATTACTGCTTCACGGCAGAAATAGGCAGGGTGGTGGTACCTACCCGTGCCGACTCACAAGACGTCCTACCACACTATGAAGGAATAACTTCGTGAGATAAAAATAAAAACCGACAAAATGTCCTTAATTCCTATACAATGGACTTGAAAGTACCAAATAAGATTTGAATTGACGGCGTTCACAATTTGGTAAATGAGCTGCGGTAACATAAGTGGCCAGTGAGGTTTTTAAATATTGCTTGCTGATTGTTTTTTTTTAATTTTTTTATTCCTTTAGTATTTTAAGTTGCTTATATTGGTGAGGACCTTTAATTGGCTTTTTGTTTCTATTATTTTATTATATTCTGTTGCATTGGCTATTGGTTCTCCTTGTAATAAATAAATAAAAAATAAATAAATATGTGTATACACATATTGCAAAGGTTAAAGACTTACTTCTTTTCTCTTTTCCCGGCGCCGGTGTCCCGGAAACCCTTCGCGAACGGGTTGTTGTCGATTTTCAGTTGTGTTATCTGCAAATAAGGTTGGTTTTCATTTGTGATCTTCATTTGTTTGTTTAACTTACGACCGCGGGTTATCGGAAGTTTTTAAATGACCTTTCAGCTGTGAATCAGAGCATAAAGGTGTGCTATCATAGACCAAAGCGAGCTACTGCGCCTACCGTTCCCCTCAGTTTTCTATCCTTTACTAATTTATGGTGGTAGGACGTCTTGTGAGTCCGCACGGGTAGGTACCACCACCCCGCCTATTTCCGCCGTGAAGCAGTAATGCGTTTCGGTTTGAAGGGTGGGGCAACCGTTGTGAGTATACTGAGACCTTAGAATTCATATCTCAAGATGGGTGGCGCTATTTACATTGTAGATGTCTATGGGCCCCAGTAACCACTTAACATCAGATGGGCTGCAAGCACGTCCACCCATCAAAGCAATAAAAAAAAAAATTACTTCGTAGGGCCTCAATCGAGAATTATTTTTATTTAATTCAGAGCATTTTCATATTTATCTACCTTTTAAACTTTCTCTGGACTTCCACAAATAATTCAAGACCAAAATTAGCCAAATCGGTCCAACTAGCCGTTCTCGAGTTTTAGCGAGACTAACGAACGGCAATTCATTTTTATACATATAGATACATAGAAGATAGATATGCTCACGGATGTCTACGTTTGGCAGTCTGGATAGCAAAGCCGTTGTTAATATAAAATTTGAAGGTCTTAGTGAGTCGTCGTTAAATTTACCAACCTTTTCATTCTGGTACGCTGTAACAGCGATGAACTCCGTCTCTTTGAAGACGTACGTCCTGAACGTGGAGTAGGGCAGCTTGAGGATGTCGTTGGCTCGCACCAGGTGGAACCTCGGCTGGTACTTGTGCATCGAGTTCAGGATCGTCTGCGTAACACACTTCACACAGCTTAGGACATTGATGCTAGAGGATGTTGGCATATTTCTTTTTTTTTTTAATCGCTAAGGTATTTACTGGTGGCAGGACCTCTTGTGATTCCGCACGGGTAGGTACCACCACCCCGCCTATTTCTGCCGTGAAGCAGTAACGCGTTTCGGTTTGAAGGGTGGGGCAGCCGTTGTAACTATACTTGAGAACTTAGAACTTATATCTCGAGGTGGGTGGCGCATTTACGTTGTAGATGTATATGGGTTCCAGTAACCACTTAACACCAGGTGGGCTCGTCTACCCATCTAGCAATATAAAAAAAAGTATGGAGCTGTTGCTAGATGAAAGGTCATTCCAATATTTCGATATCAAGTTTCAAGGTCGTTAGTGGTACTCGCTTCGTGATATCCATAGAATCCGGTATCCACTTATAACCAGGTGAGATGCAAGCTCGTATAACCACGAAAACAACGCTGGATGTTTCAATTCCATAATCAAACAAACACTGATAATGTTTTCATATTATTATGTATGTATATTATATTTCTGTGGCAGAAATATGTTGAACTTTTTATCTAAAAGAAGATAATTAATGAGCTTTTATCAGCTTTACCTTGTATGTTTCAATGTAATTGTTAAAAACTTCAATACGTCAAATTAACTTGAATATTTGTTATTTAGAGCTGATGAAAGAATAACAGTAGTAAAATAAATAATAGTTAAAAAAAACTAAAAAACACGCTTAATATAAAATTCAACTAAAAAAAGAAAATACATTTTAATAAATTTAAATTGAAAATAGTGTAAAATATATTCATTTCATCTTAGGCCTTACAGCCCAGGGTGGGCCTTAGCCTGGTCCAGTATGTCTCTCCAGACTGCTCTGTTCAGGACTTTCTCCTTCCAGTTCTTGACGCCGATATTTTTGAGGTCGCGCTCCACGCCATCCAACCATCGAAGTTTGGGTCTGCCACGACTTCTGCGGCCCTCTGGTTTGCCATAGAGCAATTGTCGGGTAAAATATATTGTATTGTAAAAAAGCGTGAGGTGTATGGTGTTATTAGTTATATATATTTTTCTGACAGATATGAGTAGAAGAACTATTATTTCAATAATATCTTAAAAAGCACCCCACGCTTTTTTAAAATAAAATATATTTTACACTATTTATTTTCAATTTAAAATTTTTAAAATTCATTTCCTATTTTTTAGTTGAATTTTATATAAAGCGTGTTTTTTATTTTTTTTAAACTATTATTTATTTTTCATTTTTTAGTTACATTTTCTATAAAAGCGTATTTTTAAAACCGTTAAGTACTTTAACATCAATTCCTGTCTTATCGACTATAGATAAAAATTATATAAATTGGCAAAAATCTTATCTTGCAAATGGAATAATGGAATAATCTTATAAAATTAGTGTATTGTCATCGCTCCTCGATAAATCTACAAAGTTTGAATGAAATCTGGCCGTTTAAAGTGGGTCAAAATCGCGTCTAAAGGAGTCAGTTACAAACATACAAACATACATACAAGTGAAGCTAATATAAAGCGTGTTAAAATAAATTCGGTTTTCTGTTAAAATACAATTTTTTGTTATGAAACTGTATTATATTATATTAAATTTAAATTGTAACGTAATTCTTCTCATTTGGTTAACCAATCACACACTAGCGTACCTTAGATTGCTGATAATTATTAATGATTTATGTGTACATTTTATTATGTATGCTATTTATTTACATAATGTATTCGTGTGTCTCTGTACATAGTTTAAATAATTTATTGCAACACTGGTATGCGAGGGACGTTTAGTTCTGGAAATACTAATTGAAATACCATCGAAATAAACTTAAATAGGGACTGCCTTTATCGATTTTAAAGTATTAAATACCTTTAAATGTTTTCTGATTACTAATATTATTGTCGCCGTCATGAATTATAAAATATAATAAATAAATTAATATAAATATAAATATTTACTAACAATCACGCCACGTTAACTGGTCCCGTGATAAGTTCGTAAAGAACTTGTGTTACAGGTACCAGATAACGGAAATAAATGTAAGATTTTATTATAGACATACATATATTTAATATATATGCATAACCCTGGAAAAGACATTTATATTTATCATACAAATATCTTCCCTTGGCGGGATTCGAACCCGCGACCCCCTTGTGTAGTGACTATGCCACTTACCACTACTCCAGACGGCCGTTAAATTGCTTTACTAATATAAAAAATCATTTAAGTATAATACCTGTACGTCTTTAAATAAATTTAACAGAAGTCTTAAGCTTATGACGGTAAGATGTAATAACTGTAATGATGATTTGCGATTGCGATCAAAAAGCGCACTTCATTGGAGAAAATTGCATTAATATGTTTTAATAGGTTTTTAATCGTCACGAATGTTATTTCGTGGAATAATCAGAAAACTTTTCTTAATACTTGGATTAGATATTTATCTATTATAACATTGATTTGATCTCTGATATATTATGAAATCACTATTAATAATTAATTGCCTAAATGATTTTGAATGCGTAAATAATATGTGGTACGCTTCGCGCAATAAATATTTATCATTAGAAAATATTTGTGAGGTTAGAGTAATCTGTGGTGACACTTTTTAGAAGTTTATATTTTTTTTTATTGCTTAGATGGATGGACGAGCTCACAGCCCACCTGGTGTTAAGTGGTTACTGGAGCCCATAGACATCTACAACGTAAATGCGCCACCCACCTCGAGATATAAGTTCTAAGATCTCAGTATAGTTACAACGGCTACCCCACCCTTCGAACCGAAACGCATTACTGCTTCACGGCGGAAATGGGCGGGGGGGTGGTGGTACCTACCCGTGCGGACTCCCAAGAGGTCCTACCACCAGTGATTACGCAAATTATAATTTTGCGGAAGTGTATGCCACTTAGTTTTGACTTATTATTTATTCGTAGGTTTTGACAGAAAGTAACATGTTTTGAAAATACCAACTGTAGGTAAAATAGGTAGGTATAAGACGTCATTAACTTGACCAGTTGCAAATGTGATATTTACAAGGACGTATTTTAAAGTTTTATTATAAATAGTTAAATATATTTCATATATTATTAATTAATATTTTTTTTAAAAAACCCTACTTTACTTTATATTTTGAAATATTCATAGGGTTTTGAAAGAGTTATAAATAAATAAAGAAAAAATTACATTAAAGACGTCAAAAACATTAATTACTTATTTACCGATGACTAATTATCGCCTTGTTCACATCTTGTTGGGATATATTTTTTATTTTATTTTATTGCTTCAATGGGCGGACGAGCTTACGACCCACCAGGTGTTAAGTGGTTACCGGAGCCCATAGACATCTACGACGTCAATGTCGCCACCCACCTTGAGATATGAGTTTTAAATCTCAGTTCTTACAGTACAACGCCTGCCCCACCCATCAAACCAAAACGCTTTACTGCTTCACGACAGAAATAGGCAGGTTGGTGGCACCTACTCGTGTGGAGTCCGCACGTCCTACCGCCAGTATGTACTTAATTTGACACTTGTAAAAAACAGATAAAAATCCACGTGACCCCGAATTTATTGAATTCAAACGGTCAAAAAAAGAAACAAGACTGGTGACATCAAACGATGTAAAAATTACAGCTGTTATCATGAACCGGGGGAGACAGTTCAAATTAGACGTGTAATGTACGGTAATTTAGCGACCGCTTAGGGTCACACCACCTTGTCATTATCGTACTAAAAAACTACCCGAGCCGACGTAACTCGGACGATTGTTGAGTAATGCGGTAATACGTCCGAAGCGGGGGTGTGGAGAGAGCTTTATTACGGGTTGCCATGTTCACGTTAATTTAGAATTTTCAACTAAAATTTATGAGGTCTTCTTAAATAATAGATTAGTGGGTTATATTGGGGTGAATTCGATTTTTTTGTGTTGCCTCACTTAGATTTCGAATTTGCACGCAATTTGCCAATTTCAATTGTTTTCCAATATGTATTATTTAAAGCACTGACAAATCTAAGGCCTCAAGTCACAAGGTATCCAACGGCGTTCACGTGGTTATGCCTATGGGCAGTAACCGCTAAACACTGAACGTTAAGCCGTCATTTCGGACCCTCGCGATCCACTAACGGTGCTTTTAGGTACCTCAAGCACCGGCTTGGTAGGCAGCGGCTTGGCTATGCCCCTGGCATTGCTGAAGTCCATGGGCGACGGTAACCACTCACCATCAGGTGGGCTGTATACCCGTCTGCCTACAAAGGCAATAAAAAAAATAAAAAAAGCACCAGTCATTGTTCTCGTCCATCGCTTGCTACAAAGGGTTCGGCGAGTAAACTAGCCCATAGACACAGCCCGCTGAGTTTCTCGCGTGTACTTCTCAGTGGGTCGCGTTTCCGATCCGGTAGTAGATTCTACGAAGCACTGTTAGTGATAGGGTCAGTGTTAGCAACGCCTCCTGGTTTGAGCCCCGAGAGCTCACCTACACGTTAGGGTTACGCTGACATAGCCTCTCAAGGCTATCAGCATAGGTAAGAAAAAAAAAACTGGGTGCACCAAGACCCCCGCAACAAAGATTACTCTTACAAATTACATCTGATTCATGTCATTATCAGTTTTCTTCTCAAGCTGCTGAATTTTTTTAGTGATATATATCTAGATAGACACATCACAAATAGACCATATAAAAAGTTGTTTCAACATTTTTTTTGTGATGACGTAGCAACAATATGTTTATTTATTATTAATTATTAATGGATCTAAATACTTATTGTCGCCTGTAAGAGTTTCGGCTCGTTAAATTATATTCAAGATAATGCGAGATAAATTAAATATTATAACTAATGTCTATATCGAGGTTATTTATTATTTTCGGTAGGCAGCGGCTTGTCTCTGCCCCTGGAATTGCTGAAGTCCATGGGCGACAGTAACCACTCACCATCAGGTGGGCCGTATACTCGTCTGCCTACGAGGGCAATAAAATAAAATAAAA